AACACATGTGCGGTGATCCAGCAGAAGCCACCGAAGATCTAAATGAACATGAGAAAGAATTAGGTGATACGGCAGCCTGTCATCGGTCGTATGTCACCATGAAAAAACTGGACGGACACCATACCGGTCGTTGGGGCAGCCGTCTACGGCATACATGCGTCATGGAGCATGCGTACAATCAGAAGCGACATCCTCTTGATGAATACATTGGAAAAGTGTGTCCAGACCGGCGAAGGCTCAAGCGTAGTCTTGAGACGCCACGGGGAAGTTCTTCGGCTCCAGTCGTCCGTCTCGTGGATTTCGAGATGGGGGTTGAGATGGCGAAGGGTCAGCCGATCGTCAAACATCAGACGGTGGGAGAATGTGGTAGACGATCTTGTTGAATGACTTTCCGATAGCAAAGATAAGAAATGAGCTCAAAGAGACCGCAAACAATTTTCAGAAGAGCATCGTAAAAGGCAAAACAGCCGGACATGAAGTATATGTCCATCTGATTGACCCATGGGTCGAACTTGTCGCGGTCTCAATAGAAGCAGTCGGGCTTGCCGACCTTGAGGTTGTCGTGTCCAGCATGATTAGCCAGAGAGTTGATGGCATCGTTGGCGGTCCTTCGGGCGGTTTCTGCCTCAGAGGGGCGGGGGTTCCCCTCGTGCTAGATCGATCTCCCACCTTGAGGGCGTTCAAAGCTGTTAGGATCGGTTCAGAACGCGAGGAAGGACCCCACGAGGCGCACCTCTGACTGCTTGAGTCTGCACTCGCGACGATTAAATCCACCGTCGGTTTGACATCGACAAAGGCTGCTATATCGAATCGCCTCTCCTCGCCTTGCATAATCGTGGAATGTTCTTGCAACCTGAGCTCACAGTCATGCTCCTATCGGCGGCAATCACTATCTCTCGGCAGGGAAGCAGACGCATGGCAGGCAGTAGAACAGCTGGAAGGCCACTTGCGCGGGCTGCGCAGGCGGACATACGGCACGCAAGTACATTGTCAGTACGGCCTTTTACGCCTGGGCAGGGCTGCAACAGTATCAACACCGGACTCTACGCATGCTTCAGGGGAGTGGCAGCCATACTGAGCACTTGGTGTATGTCGCAGGCTAAGGCACTTTGGGAACACCAGTCGAGAGTGCAGAGCACGCTTGCCAAGACACTAGATAGTTGAGCCCGGTCCACCCGGCCGC